TAAATAAATAAATAAATAAATAAATAAATAAATAAATAAATAAATAAATAAATAAATAAATAAATAAATAAATAAATAAATAAATAAATAAATAAATAAATAAATAAATAAATAAATAAATAACAGTATTATTACCCTGGATAATGTTGGATTCTTGACACCACTTACTGTTGATGCATTCTTCGGTAATGTTATAGTGGTAGCTTGAACAATAGAATGTGATGCTTTGAGTGGAGTTCTGGAATTCATACTACTGTAGGATGCTGGAGCTCTTTTCTTGGTATTGTTAAGTTTTAACGGAGCTGGAAGTTTCCTACATTGAAGAAGGTATCAAAGTAATTAAACATCTATCCTCGTCTACTATAATAATGGAATGATGTAAACTGTGCATGTATCAATGGAATGATGTCATCAAGTCTAGATTGAATGAAAACCAAAGTGTTTTGCTAAGCTGTAAGTCATCTTGTTAACTAACTAACTAACTGACTGAATAATTTTCAGAACTTCTGTAAGCAAGTACTTTTTACCAGAGCTATGCTTCCAAGCGCTGTCTACAGTCAATGTGAATGTTTCTAATAACGCATCAACAATATCAACTCTCTGCATACAGTTCAGAAGAATTCAAACACAAGTTGTAAAAGTAACGTAATGGTTAATTAGACATACAGTATATACATCATTTTATAGCAAAAATACTTGAATAATTGTTTTTATATAAATTAATGTTTACCTTGTTGGTGATGGGAATGACTTTTTAACACCTGGAATTTGTGGACTGTCTGTAATGTTTTCAACCACTTTCTGTAGTTTTGATCTCTCTTCTTTCAAATCTGAAAAATAACAAAATATTCTCTCAAACAACCAGGAAGCATTTGGTGTCCCAGTTTACAACATTTCGTAGTAGGGTTAATTACTGTGCAAATAACAACCAAAGATTGTCTGATATTAGACAAGTCATACAATGTGCCATAAAAAAGACACTATAGAATTCAATAGGTCAATAGAATTCTATGTATGGAATGCAATTGAATTCTATGTATTTCTATAGAAAAATCAATTGCACTCCATTCTCTGTAGAATTTTATTTAATGTTACCAGTAATGGCAATCATATAGAATTTCATGAAAATTTGACAGATGTTAAACATAAAAAGGCAATAAAATTAGAGCCAAATTTTATAAAATTTTATTGGATTTTTTTAAACTTATTTCCATAGAAAATCTATAGGAGCAGTAAATTGCCCAAGAAACATGGATGAGATGTTGACTGTACGCTGATTAGTGATGTTATGATCACCTTTGTTTTAGATCATGATCATGATCATGCACATGATACTAACTCACCTTGTATTGTAGGTTCTCTGCTGATTGACATCACTGACTGACATCTAAAATCAGACTCCTCCTCCAGACAGTTTTGTAAAAAAGTTATATCCCTCAGCAACATTTCAACCTCATCTTCCAAAGCTTTTCTGAAAATTAAAATCAGTTTGATTACTGTAAAATCTGTATTAGAAGCCGCGGCTTCTATTAAAATGGTACAATGCAACAGAGGGGATGCGGCTTCTATTAGAGCATATACACATATGAGAAATGGTGAATTTTAGATTCTCAATTATTCAAAAAGAATGGGTGCGACTTCTATTAGGTATGCGGCTTCTAATACAGATTTTACGGTACATGCCATTCTAAATTTAAATGTACAGACAAAGCATATGTTAGTTAAGGTGCTGTTTTTCCCTCTATTTGTGCAAAATACTTTTGTAAATATCTGAATTCCAACATCAACTAACATTAACCTTTTCAACCCTTGACCCTTTAAATAGCAAAGTAAATATTTGTCAGCTTTCACAGATTAGACTCGCATAATTTCTTTTTACTTCAAAATTTTGTCTTAAGGTAGCAAGAAGGGTTTGATGACGTTTTTGATTAAAGCATTCTCTGTTTATTGTCTCATTCAGAACCGTAATTTAGCGTATATATTTCGAAAACCTGAGTATAGAAAGACAAGTTCGCCTAAACTGGAGAGTCAATGTTTACGTCATTACCACATGACCACAAATCAAGTCCATTGAAATACGTCTCCAATAATCAAAAGACCTAAAGCTAAAAAGAAATTTTCTCCATTTGGTTCAAAATTAACAAAGAAATAGTAGAAAAAATACATAACAAATTTCAGTTAGTACTGTAAAATCTGTATTATTAGAAGCCGCGGCTTCTATTAAAACAGTACAATGCAACAGAGGGGGTGCGGCTTCTATTAGACATCTACACGATGAATTTTTGATTTTCAATTATTCAAAAGGAATGGGTGCGACTTCTATTAGAGATGAGGCTTCTAATACAGATTTTACGATAGTAGCGACTACAAGGAATTCGCCTGGTTACCTTTCTATTATTTCTTGGGTCCTTCGGCCTTCCCATACTCGAAATATTACCTTCATTTTGCTCATTAATCAAATAAATTTATTCTAATGTCAGAATAAATAGGTCAGTTACACTTTTGTCTCTGTGGCAACTAGCAGTTGGGACCAATGATATAATACAAAGGTAACCAGGATTACAAAGAGTGTAATACCTACCTGAGTTGTTGCACTACTTCATCTATCTGAAGAATATTCAAATGATCTTTAACAGCTTCTACTTGATCACTGACTGTTGAC